AATGAAGCAACGCGTGAACGGGGTTAGTTGCTTCTTCTTTTTCTTTTTCTTTTCTCTTTTTTTTTGTATTTGCTGTGTCAGATCTCTACTACTACTCCAGATCCGACATCACTCCCTTGATTTCTCTCTCTCTCTCTCTCTCTCTCTCTCTCTCTCTCTCTCTCTCCGTGCTCTTCTCCACCTAATCCCATAGTTCTCTCTCTCTCTCTCTGTTCATCTCTTTTCTCCTTTCTCTTTCCTGATGTCTCCAAATCCTCTAGTTTCCGTTCTACTCGACGTCTCCTCACCCTGTCCCTTGATCTCTCACTCTCTCTCTCTCTCTCTCTCTTCCTCTGATCTTCCTATCTTTTCATCCATCTTAGCTTTTTATCGGCAGCATACTGCTTTACTCTCTTGCTCTCTTTCTCCTCATTTTGTCTATATCTACTATGTCTCTCTCTCTCTCTCTCTCTCTATCTCTCTCTCTCCCTTTCACCTGCACATACGCGCATGCGCACACTATCTCCCTTCCTCTCTCTCCCACCTGTCCCCTCTCTCACCCTCTCTTTTTCCTTCCTCCTCCTCCTCCTTCTCCTCCTCCATCTCCATCGTTCTCCACCACTGAGAAGTTGAGCTCCGGAAATTGATAGATACACTTCCCAAGTCTGATGCTTCATGTGCCGTTACGTTCCCACTGGCAACCAATACTCTTAGTCAATGAGTAAAATGTGTCTGTCATTTAGGTTTAATTCGCCATTTATGTGCAATTTTATTCCCCATTTAGAACCATCAACTTTTTTTTTTTTAAAGAAATGAATGAAATAGGCCAAAATGTCACATTTTCGTGTGAAATATAGCATTTGAAGAATTATTTATTATTTGTGTCGTATTTGAATGTATCAAAGATTAATTCACTCGTCAGAGTTATTATTTTTATTAAATAGATATTCATTTGACCCGATAAATTGAATTCGTCTAGACGACCGTGTACGACAGACATAAAGCTAAAAGAAACATGATTGAAGATGTATATCGAATAATCTTATTTTTGACATGACACAGGCTATGTTTCTTATTCATACCAAGATTAAAAGTCGATTCAAGTCATATTTACAAATATGAAAATCCGAATAAAGGAATAGCCCTTTTCTCGATGTGTCACTTTTGTATTTTTACGACATTGTACTCCGTATAGCACATTTTCAACACAGCAAGAAAACATTTAGTCTTGGCGCCGCAGTGCGGACGCCACGCGCGGCAGAAATGATGCCGACAATTTAATCGGTAATAAGTCGCCAAAATGCTGTACTGAACGCGACGAAGTGTTTTTTTTTTCAAAGCGCTTGTGTAAGATGTAATAGAATCAATCTTCTGGCAAGCAAGATGCTGGTAAACGAAAGAAAAAGACCGTTTTTCTCTTTCTATTTCACGCGCGATGTTGTCGCAGCCCGGCGGGCCGAGGCAGGTAAAACGAAGATAGCTGCCGGGCATCCGCAAAACTCGACTCGCTTCGAATAATATAAAGTCATCAGCGCAGCAAGTAAACGGTAAGAATCGACGGTGAAATGGCGGCGTGATGTCAATGCTAAAAAGGGGGTTGGTTCTGTTTGATTATATTCTGTAAGAGATAAAGGTAAGCCCACTGATGGGTTCCTTCGTGACCCCTCCTCTGCGTCTCTGGATGACTGCCCCGATGCGTAGATTGAAAGACCGTAAAAGGAACGGCAAAATGGCGCGCAAAATCGGCTCAACTGAAGCAAGAATCGCGCCTGCGGGCTCCCAGGCAGTTCGTTGCTTCGATTCGGAAAATCATTTTGTATTGGCAGTCACCGCGAGGAAGAGCAGGAAATTATGCGATAACACTTTTGTAATAGGTAGATTGACCTCATAAAAATGTTGCAAATGATTGTAGGCGCGCTGAACGGATGGCTGGTGTATGGGGAGTGTGCTTGCTGACATGTTATAGCTCCAAGCGCAGATTCAGAACAAGCCAGCTGAGTAAAAGCAAAGAAGAAGAGCTCACTGCTCTGTTTTGACGAAAGCGGATGAAAGACAAATTATGTACAATTGCCGAAAAAGAGAGCTAACTAGCATGAACGGAAAAGCAGCCCCAGGACTACGTTTCCTTGTCCCTTTTCAATTCCAACTTCGGTTAATTACTTATTTCACCCCTAAACGACTCGCTCTCTGTTCCGTCCGCCTTTCAAAACACGAATGTCAATAATTGCCTTGCTCTCATATAGCTGCTCTGCCAACGAAACAAGTTGAAAGATAACATGTAGACTCGGTTTGGCGATACAAAAGCAGGTGTGAGTCTTACGCCTCAGAAACACAGATATTAAAAAGACAGGAATTTGTGTGATGAAATGCTCAAATGATTCCACCTCCCATTTGAGTGTGTTATAGTTAAAGTTTATTTTAGGTCAGAGCGAGAAATAAGAACTCTTAACGAAGCGTTATAATTCGGTGTCGACTCATAAAGCTCGTCTTCTTCTCCGTATATTAAAAATACATATTTATAGATATCTATACTCTCCAATGAATACAGTATAGCGTAAACTATTCGCTTTGTTTAATTTGGAATAGGTTTAGTGATCTAGATTATAGAGCAACCAATTAATTGCACCGCCAATATTTTTATTTTCCTGTTTCTCGAGACGTGTGATCCCCTTCTTGGGCAGACGATCTCTCCAAGAAGTGAGGTATTATATCTCCCGCCATAGTTCGGTGTGTTTTCAGCGGCTGATTCCGTGTTGTTTTTAAGCGGATTCCTTGATGGTCTTTGGGGAAATAAGACGCAGTTAGCACTTGTTACTCACCGCTCTCTCTCTCAAAATTCATAATCGTTTGCTCTTCTTAAGTGTATGTAATGCGATTAGAAGAGTTCCGCTTGGGGAGGAGGAGAATCGAAGCTGGTTTGGAAAGCCTATCATTCCAAAAAATGACGACAGGTTTATTATTTTTGTCATTTTTAACACTTTGAGTCAACCCTGTTCCCTGCAAAGTGAATATTATACCCCCGCTGTAAAATAATTCCGCACGTAATGAAATTTCAGAGATAATAGGTTCCAACAAGAAGGCGATGCGTCATTGCAGAGTCGTTTCTTCCAGATTCTAAAAATGTCATTTTAATGAATATGAAATATTGTATGATGCTAAAGCGTGCGATAAAGATTAAAACCAGTTAATTGGTACCGTGTGATATTTTTGACATTAAATGCTGAAATATAAATTGATATAACGGCGTATGCGATATTTGTTGACGTAATACTAAATACGTTAAAGAAGAATATTGTTGTACTTATCATTGTCACAATACTTCCACGGTACTATATATTTCAAAGTTTATCATTCAGCATTACAACGTTTTAAGTTTTCTTGAATAACTTGTCGCATATTGATAATTATAGAAGATGCATTACATTTGTAAAAGGCATCGTTTTAATAAAAAAAATCTTTGTTTAAACATATTACGTTGGTGACTACTATTAGTAAGGCTTATCAGTTAGCTCTGTATTTCTCTCAAAGTGGTATGAATTAAGAAAGTAAATTGTGATTGAGAATCCTCGCAGAATTAAGTGGAATAATAGGACTCTTTCTTCGTTTCATTATAAATAAAACTTGATTAAATAAATAAATAAATAATGTTTGGTTGATCTATTTTAAACCTAGTCCTCTTTTTTGATACACGTATATTCTGGGAGTGTTCTGTTTCAATGTACAAATTACTCTCATTAACTCAACACTTTTGTTGGGGGATGGGGGTAAGGGTCATAAAAACTGTTTGCAGTAGCACCCCACCCCCCCCCCCCCCCCCCTTCTTGATTATTTTTTTTTGTAAACACTGGATAAATAATCATCACCAAATACACATTTCCCATCTCCAGAACTCAATTAATAGATTAAATTCAATCTGGAGATGTGGATAATCATTTACATTTTTTTTATAAATTCGAAACAAAAAAACAATATTTTATTAGTAAAAAGTGGGCACAATTGAAAATTGTTTATCTCTACACATATAAGCTCCTCATGCGCGTCATGGCGCATTCAATGTACAATCACTGTAATTACGTTAATGATGGGTGGAAGTGCTATATAACGGGGTTGTGAGCAAGCTCATACCATTACCCTGATCAGGAAATAGACTCAGTCGTGCAGAGGGGCACATAATCCCAGCTTAAAAACCCAATTTCATTATGAAATGAGAATGTAACTGAATTTTTCATAAGGATCATGCCTATGAATTATGGTGTTGTCTCAGTGATATCATTGAATATAGTTAGCAAGCGTTTAGGACTAATTAACTAGCTACGATGGATGAATTTCTGGTCTATCTCCTTCTACGCTCGCTATCTCTTTCTCTCTCTCTCTCTCTCTCTCTCTCTCTCTCTCTATGTCTATACGTTCAAATGAAATGATGAGTCAAAACCCACGCTACCTAGTCTGGTTAAAGATAAAGTTAAGTTATGGGCCCCGTCTTACAAACAGTTGCGTTCAATCGCAACTTATTTGCAGATGATATCAATCTCAACTACAGTGTATACATAGGAGATAGGAGAGTGCAACTTGCGATTAATTAGAGGCCTTGCGATTGATTCGGATCAATCGCAACTCTTTCCCTGGTCATGCGATTGCATCTTAAAAGAAACCGTGTGGAAGTAATTGGAAAAGATTTATGATAAGACGTTTGTCCCGTCTTGCTAGAAGTCACGCGCACTGTACAGATGAATGTGTATATGGGACTACACAAACAAATGGCATGAAAGTGTGTTCCACAAACTTTAGCTGTTATTTGTCATATTTCGAATATGAAAGCATTTGAAGAGCCATCCTTTTCAGGGGACACTATTATTCTAGATACTCTTCCAGACTTACTCACAAAAATGAGAAGCTCACAAAATATTGTTTACCTTACCCAGAACTCAACCTTTTCTTTGATGTCGAATGATTGTCGTAACCAATATCTATTTCATATTAATTAAAGTTTTATAATTTCCTTTTCTGTCATTTTCTGAAAGATAAAGATGACAAGGATTCAAATGATAACAAGAGGAGGAGAAGTCGAACCAACTTCAATGGTTGGCAGCTGGAGGAGCTTGAACGCGCCTTCAATGAGAGTCATTACCCAGATGTCTTCACCAGGGAAGCACTCGCAATGCGATTGGACCTTGTTGAGTCACGTGTTCAGGTGAGGGTGAGACGCCATTTTATTTTTTGTTTTGCTCATTTATTTTAATAAACTGTGGTTTTGTGTTCGTCTTTTATTCTTTGGTAAAGCATTTGTATTGAAAGGCAAGTATCATTGATAGACTCTTTTGTTCATGCATGTATCTCAGTCTCTGTATCTCTCTCTCTCTCTCTCTCTCTCTCTCTCTCTCTTTTCCTCTCATTATCTCTACTTTTTCTTTCTCGGAGAAACCAAAATTATGGATTCTGTTTCTATTGTCAAAATCAGTGATATTGCAAAGCCTAATCGATTCATCCACACAAACAATCAAATTCGTTTTATTAGAGTAGTCGTTACGTTTGAATGTACTAAATCAATGTTCGACAAGATATCAAAGTTCCCTTTTCCAATAGGATAATCTGTCAAGAGCGATTAAATGTTCTTGTTATCGTATGTCTATCATATCTAATTCCATCATCTAATTGGAAGGCATGATAGGTGGAAGATCGGTACACTTTAAAAGATAATTTGGCAGCCTTAATCAGTAAAGCAAAAGCGCTACCCTTTCCTTAGTCGCCGTTAACCTAATCAATTTACCAAACTCGCGTGGGTGGTTCAACTTGACACCAACGATTCAAGTTAACAAATCTTGTTTACCCACCCAGTCGATAATTCGACACCCGAATTAGTCCAATAAATTGTTACGGATACTGATTCGAAAGAAAGAAGAAAATAGATCATCGGACTCAACTCCAATACGTCATGGTCAAACAGTCTTAAATTGTGTTTATCAACAGGTGATCCTGTTTCAGAGGGCACAGCCCAGTGCGTAGTACCATAGACCTACCACTATGGTAGTACTAAAAAAGGGTAGCTCTGCATGTATTAGGGGAAAGAAAATGTTTTGGGTAGGCCTAAATACGCTCTCTTACACTCTTTATTATACTTTTCATTATCCCCCCCCCCCCCTCGCCTCCTCTCTCTCTCTCTCTCTCTCTCTCTCTCTCTCTCTCTCTCTCCCTCTCTCTATCCATCTATCTCTGTTTTTCTCATTCTTTTTCTAACACACACTATCATAATTATCTACCCATCCCATTGTTATCCTAAATGTTCATGCTTTAAGTTGACAGTATATCATGTACGATGATTACAATGTAAAATTCACATTTATAAGGAAAAAATTAGTATAAATCATTAGTTGTTGAACTTATCCCCCACGCACTAACATAATATGTCAGATATTTTCCCACGTGCACCACTGTCTCTCGGCTGCTGAGCAAAGCAATCAGAGAAAGTGGAAGTTTTGCTAATTGTTTATTGATCTCTTTTGTGTCGTTTCTTGACGCTTTTGACTCTTTGATGTCATAGGCCAGAGGATTGTTGCCGCTTATCAACACAATACATCTTATTGACAGAGTAAACTTGGTCAAGAATAAAGCAACGTGTCAAGAATAAATGCGGTACAATTAATTTACTGTTGTCCGCTACTATATACGTCTGATGTTTGGTCAACCCCCTCCGTAGTTTATTGTTTCATTCTGTCGTGTCATATTGAAGGTATATTGGCAGTAACTTGCTAATGTGAGCTATACAATTAGCCGCCTTTTTGACAGTTATAAATCCAGCAGTGTCGTCTAGGAATGGCAGGCTGTAGCCTCGACTTGCGTCTTGAACGAATCTCTGTCTTTTTGTGTGTTCTCATTGATTATGTAAACGTCCTTCTCACGCCAAACTGTAAACGCCGTCTTTTTTTTAGACATCATCGGTTCGTGTGGCTGGGCAGAACGCAGGGCTTTATGGAACGGAACACGTTTTCATTTTCGTCCTTCTCGTTAAACTGTGTGTTAAGTGTCACTCATTTCGAATCGATAATTGAATCAAAATATTGGCTCCTAGTCCAGTAGTTAATCCTCGCGGAGAGTCATTTAGACGGTCTTTGTTGGCTAATTAGCAAGCGTTTTGAACTAATAGAGTATCAAGAAGACCGTTTATTGTTTAGTTTAACTCAGAATTTCTGTACATATCATAAAAGATGAAAACAGAGTAATAATATAATAATATCCTAATAGTCCACTCCAAATTTTATTAAACCGAAACGGAAATTCTTTTTGCCCAATTGATCGACGTTGCTCTACCCCTTATTGTTGAACGCCAAACAAGGTAGCAACAACTCCCATCTTTTAACGTCATTTGGTATGACGCGGCCGGGGTAGGCCTAATCTAAGTGATATTGTTATATCTTGTAATCGCATAAAATTATCTGAATCCCTCTTCCCATAAGTATCCATTTTAAGTACTGTTGCTATTTGACCAAATCATTATGTTTATGACAAAATGAGTATGAAACCTCCTCATACGTACGGAGGTGAGACTTTATATTGATCAGTGATTTGATGATTGCGACTGATCACGAAAAATAAATGTGATTTTTTTTTTTAACGTAATTAGACAAAGATAGGGATCGCACCAAAGGATTATTAGGGCTGCAGAGGACTTAAACATGTTAAAAGCAAAGATCAAAACAAAACATAACATTAGAAAAGCAAAGAGAGAGGAAGAGAGAAGGGTTATATGTATCTCCGAATTTCTGAAAGGCTAAATATATAGGAATATAAAAGAATACAAGGAAAATATACAGGAGGGCGGCGATTGCTTCATATTCTCTCTCTCTCTCTCTCTCTCTCTCTCTCTCTCTCTCTCTCTCTCTCTCACTCACACACACACACACACACACACACCCACACACACACACACACACCATTGCAATTTCGTATATCTGTTTTCTTTTCTACTTCTTCCAGCCACTTTATAATTTCTGCTGAGGGATGAGAGATTTATTTTTTTTAAATCCTCAACCGCTAGAATCATGAGGAATTATGAAGACCTGGAATAGGTTATCTCGTGCGATGTCCCTTGTATGCATATCTCTTTCTCTCTCTCTCACTCTCTCTCTCTCTCTCTCCCTTTCTCTCTCTCTCTCTCTCTCTCTCTAGCCCTCATTCCCTCCCCCTCCTCTCACTTGGTCGAAGAAGCCTCGGTTGCTTGCATTTAAAGAATCAATAAATAGAAAAAGGGGAATTTATATCGCTCGTCATTTGGAGTCAAAATTGCCTCTGCGGTTGACATTGACAGAATTATACAATCATGGTAAATTAGCCAAAGTAAATCACTTTGGCTTTCTATTGATTGCACGAGGCGATGTATGTAATCGTAACACAGGCAAAAGCCAATAAACCGACCACCAAACATAAGTCATTACACAAAAATCACAGTCATCATCAGATTCTCTGGCAAAGCAATTAAAATTGCTGCGGTGAAGAAATACAGAGGAAGGGGAGAAAAAGATACGTAAACGACAAGAATTGATTTCTTTAAATGGATAGAAAACTATCTTAATTTCATTTCTCCGCCGGGAAAATGGAATATTACGGCGGAGAAGGGCGAACCAGCAATCGAGCACAATGACGTTTCCTGGTAAATACGCGCAGTTTCCGGTTTCCGTTCCGGCAATGCATGATGGACGTATCATGGCCGTGCATTGGTTTCTAATCAGTCGCGAAGCAAGCAAGTCGATCGCTAATCAGAAAATAGAAAAATGGTGCAATATAGCAATTTGCATCGAAGCCTGCATTGAAGGTAGCAGTTTTTTGTAGCCTCTGACACATGTCTTTAACATTATTAAATGTCACTGCATTATATCTGATTGAATTGACCCCAACAATCAACAAAAGAAAATAAGTCAAAAGCAACGCGTAATATTTAGATGTGGCAACGCAGTTATTAATTAAAAATGGGTACGTTAGTTTCTATGCATAATCGAATAGCATTTCGATTGTGTTATATTCATTTGAGGGTTTTCCCCTACAAGTCAGTATAGTTAATAAACTTTTGTGAGGTTTGATTTATATAGATGTAAATATTGTCGATGCCCTTCCTTCCCTCGCTTTTTTAGAAATATTGAAGACGTGCACGGGAAACGAAATTTTGAAATGGCTATGTATGAACAAAAAATCTCTAATGATATATATATATATATATATATATAGAACATTTTTATCCCATTTTTAGATCAAATTGTCCAATATTGCGACTGTAATTTCCGGAATGAAAACTTTCGTTCATAAAGTATGATTTCTCTCATTTTTATACAGAACTCTTTGAAAACATGATACCACGAACTGACTGAATTCAAAATCATTATTGATAAAAACAAAATCGCAAAATTAATGACAATATTTTCCATGTAAATTAGCGATACATTATTTGATATCCGAATTTTAAATCTCAAGGGTCTAATTTTAAGAAGGTAAGCGCTATGCGAACTTAGATCCTCGATTAATTCTGTGGAATTATATTTGCATTTTAGAAATGACCATCTCACGCTCAATCTTTCGCTTTTGTAGCGCCGCGCGAGGTCTTTCTAAACGCTCAATGCGGAGTCAATGGAGCAATATTGCGTATTTAAATTGAGGGAAATCGCTTGAAAATCTCGTATGTGCAGCTTAACTTGAGCTTGCTTTCCACGCGTGAAATAAAAGAAAGGGATACAAAAATTTGCCCTGAGGAACTAGTACCGTCTGTCGTAGCAATTCTCGCTGCTACCACGGGCTTTCTTCGAGCACTCCTCTGCTTTTTAGTCAAAATCTTTCTTTGTGCACGCTCTCTGCTCCACTGTTGAATAATGTGCGTTGAGTTTTATCTTTTTCATTCTTTCATTTGTACTTGGGGTCAAACGGCGACACTAACCTATGCAGGGGTGACCCAACTCTTAAATACGGCCTTTCTCGTACGCTATCACAGGAAGGGCGTATACCAAATAATCCACCACTTGCCATACAAACAGAGAACATTGAATGATTTTATGTTTGTAATACGTTTTTTTAACAAATCAATTCCTAAAGCGCTCCTATTGCATGGATTCACATCGCTTTGCAGGGCCGGTGATATTCTTTTCACAATGTTTTATGATTAACTATATAGCGTTTTCGACTTTGAAAACTCTTTTTTCTTTTTTCTTTTTTTTGTTG